TCCAGGTATATTTTAGATATGAGACCCTTGTTGTATAGCTAGTGAAGATCTTCTCCCAATCTGTGGGCTTTGTATTGATCTTGCTAGCTATGTCCTTTGCCATGCAGAAGCTCTGCAATTTCATGCAATCCAATTTGTGCAGCCTTTCTTTGATTTGTTGTGTTTCTGGGTCTCTACTAAGAAAATTTGGGCCTGTGTGAAGGAGACTTAGGGTTTCTCCTATTCCATCCTGTAATGTTTTCAGAATGTCTGCTTTGACTCCGAGGTCTTTGATCCATTTAGAGTTGATTCTGGTGCAGGGTGATATATAAGGATGTAGCTTTAGTTTTCTGCAATAGTTAACCAATTTTGCCAGCACCGTTTACTGAAGAGTCTGTCTTTCTTCCATTCTATTTTTTTAGCTCCCTTATTGAAGATTAGATGGCTATACGTCTGTGGATTCATTTCTAGGTTTTTAATTCTATTACATTGGTCCTGAGGTTTGTTCTTGTGCCAGTACCAAGCTGTTGTGATTACTATGGCTTTGTAGTAGAGTTTGAAATTTGGTATCGATATTCCTCCAGCACTGTTTTTTCTGTTGAGGATCATTTTTGCTATTCGGGGTCTTTTATTGTTTTGTTTTATTGTTTTATTTTTGGATTGCCTAAGAAGAGGTGTTTCTTTGTTGCTGTATTTTTCTTTCTTTCTTTTTTTCTTCTTCTTTGCAAGTCATGAGGCTTGAATTCAGGGCTTGGGCACTGTCCCTGAGCTGCTTTTGCTCAAGGCTAAGACTCTACCACTTGAGCCACAGCACCACTTCTGGCTTTTTCTGTATGTGGTACTGAGGAACTGAACCTAGGGCTTCATGCATGCTAGGCAAACACTTTACCACTAAGCCACATTCCCAGCCCTGTTTTTGTTTTGTTTTCTTTTTTTTTGGTTGGTCATGGGGCTTGAACTCTGGGCTTGGGTGTTGTCCCTGTGCTCTTTAGCTCAAGGTGAGTGCTCTATGACTTGAGCCACAGCACCACTTTCTGTTTTTGTTTTCTTTTTGTCTTGTTTGTTTATCTGTCTTTGAGAGTCTAAGAGGACACAAAAATGGTGGGACAAAGGTGAATAAATGCAGCAGTGGTACTCACTAGACACTGTTGAAAATGAACTATACAACTTGTGGGATAAAAGGGAAAAACTGGGAGAGAGCAAGAGAATGGGTGACATAGTCCAGAAAGAAATGTACTTATCACCTGACTTATATAACTGCAACCCCTCTGTACATCACCTTTGTAATAGCAGTTTAAAAAAGAGGAAAAAAATCTATTCTGTGTTAACTTTTATTTGTATTTTACCAACAAGTAATTCTTCCCTATTTTCGTGTTGCTTAGCTGTCCTTGATTCAGCTGTTACATCTGGTCCATACTATTCGAAGACCTTTCTTATGAGAGATGGAAAAAATACACTGCCTTGTGTGTTTTATGAAATTGTGAGTATTTAAAATATTCTTTGGAAAGACTTTGCCAACAAAACATCAAAGTGCAGGCAAAATTCCATTGTAATATAAATTGTTTACATTTGAATATTTTATTTGGTCTTTCTTTTTTTTTTTTTGTCGGTCGTGGGGCTTGAACTCTGGGCTTGGGCGCTGTCCCTCAGCTCTTCAGCTCAGGTGAGCACTCTACCACTTGAGCTACAGCGCCACTTTTGGTTTTCTGGTGCTTTATTGGAGATAGGAGTCTCACGGTCTCTCCTGCCCGGGCTGGCTTTGAACCGCGATCCTCAGATCTCAGCCTCCTGAGTAGCTAGGATTACTGGTGTGAGCCACCAGTGCCCGGCCTATTTGGTTTTATTTCTGATAGAGTTGTTTATTTGTATAATATGGAGAGATTAGTTATTGTAATTTAGATGTTATGTTAGGAATATAGTGTAGAATGTAAGGAGTAAATGGCTACTTCCCTCAAAAGAGTTACAATCTCAGGTAAAAAGATACATTAAAAAATTAAATGCTCTCCTAGCATTTTCATAGGTTCTCCTCCAGGAAGTGGGGTTAGCATTTGGTAGCTGGTGCTAAAAGAAAAATCTTTGATTACATTCTTGACCCGGTATTGTACTAGGGACAACTGTCATTCAGCCTCTAGTCATAGCTACTTTGGAGGCTGAGATCTGAGGACTGCTATTGGAAGGTAGGCTAGGCAGGAAAAGTTCATGAGACTCTTATCTCCAGTTAACACTAGAAAGCCAGAGCTTTGGACCTGTGGCCCAAGTATAGAGCATTAGCTTTGAGCAGAAAAGCTCAGGGACAGTGCTCAGGCCCTGAGTTCAAGCTCTGGGACTGGAACACACAAAAATAAAGGCTATGATAGAAGTGTAAGTAGGGTGCTATAGAAGTGGATAGGAAGATGAAATCAGAGAAAGAATTTCAAGCAAATAATAGCATATCAGAACCTGTATTATTATAAGGACTAGTAAGAGCTAAACTAGAGGGAGGAAGATCTGTAAGAGATGTGGAAGAATGCTTTTTAAGATGAAGAAGCAGCATATGCAAAGATGTGAAACAAAGCCTCATTCAGCAACCTGCAAGTACCAAAACATAAAGTTTAATAAGTGTTGGGAGTAATTTATATCCAAGTGTAAGTTGGAATATAAATTAAATGTTTGAATATAAATTAAAGGCCAAATACCTTGTGAGATCTACATATTATAAAAAGGTTTGGTTTTAGTTCTGAAATTGTTTTAAATTCTGAAAAAAGACTTGGATTGTGATATTTATTTTATCATTTATTAGTTTCTTGACCTAAGCAAGTTGCTTAAAATATCTGAACTTCATTAAAAAAATGGTAAAAATGGAAGATGACTTCCTACTCTGTTGATTATTTTCAGCAGTAGCAATCTGAATGATGGAATTAAGGCTTTTGGACATGGTTCCTATTTAGTTCATATAACATTGTCCATAATAGCAAAATCTCTCTGGTTGTTTCCCATCAAGAGTAATATGGAAAATTAAATTGTGGTATATTAGAATATACACATATATACATAAATACACAAGTTATATATATATAATATATATATAATATATATATACATATATATGTGCTCTTTGATCTAGCACTTGTTTTATATTGATTAGACTTTTGTTGTTTGATTTGGTTCTTTGAGACTGTGTCACCCAAAGAGACCTGGAATTTTAAACCCTTCTGCCTCAGCCTCTTGAGTGCTGGGATTCTAGGTATATGCTACACCTAGATGTAATATAACACTTTAACCTAGAGTTGTATACCAAATGCATACTTATACACAGAAATATACAAAATATGGTTAATCATTTATTAAAAGTTGAAATTTAGATGAAATAATGACTTTTTGATGCTTATATTTTGAGAGACAGGATTGTGAGCTTCCAAGACTGATTAGAGGCCGAGTTCACAGATGTGTTGGAAACTATGAGCCAGAAAAGAACATTTTCAAATGTGTTTCTGTCAGACCAGCATCTGTTTGTGAGCAAAAAACATTCCAAGCATTTGTTAAAATTGTAGATGCTGAGATGAAGTATTATACAAAAGCAATGAATGAAATTTAAATAGTGATAAGACAGTATAAATGGATTCATTTTATTGCTGTTTAATTTACCATTCCTGTGGTCATAGTGTTGTAAGTTTTCTGTACTTTATTTCTTGAATTAAATCCTTTAAAATGAAATTTTTGAAAAGTAATATTAATGCGTTTGCTAAATGGAGCATTTGCTAAAATGTATGAATGATTTCAAATAAAAATTTTCATTGTAATATACATAGTTACTCCTTACACTTGATATAATTCTAAAGGCTGAGAAGTGATAGTGAGTACTTTTTTTTGTAGTTCTGTGGTTTGAAATAGTTCATACTTGTAAAGAAGGTGCTTTACCACTTGAGCCATACCTCCAACCCTTACTTTATGATCTGGGTAGAGTTTCGATCTTCCTGTTCACACCCGTGTTTAGCTGGGAAGATATGAATTGCTTATGAACTTTATTTTTGCCTTGGCTGGCCTTGAACCAAGATCCTTCTGATTTTTGCCTCCTGAGTGGCTAGGTCTATAAACATGAACAGCTTTCTTATCTGTTAGGTACGTTTTTAATGTGGGATAATAGTACATTTATTCTCCAAACAAACATCAGACTTAGCAGAGGTAATTCTAGAAGCATTCCCATCGTCAGGACTTTAAAAAAGTCATTAAGAGAGATTTTATTTTCTTTTTTATTAGCTTACATCAGTAGTACAAAGCAGCTGGGCACCAGTGGCTCATGCCTATTAATCCTGGCTAGTCAGGAGGATGAGAGGGGAAGAAAGATCATAAAAGATCATGAGACTCTGAACCAGGAAAAACAAAGTAGAGGTGTGGCTCAAGTGGTAGCAGAAAGTACCTGTACACACGCATACAAAAGAGGGTTTCATTATGATAATTTGCATTCAGGGTATTTTCAACAACTTTACCTCCTTTTAAATCCTCCTTCATTCTCCCGTTTTTAAATCAGTACTTTGTAGGTTTAAGTATGCTGTTTTCATATGTGTTTAAAATACTTCAACATTCTTCACTCCTCCAGTACACTACTATCCCGTTTCCCCTCCCACTGGTTCTCCACTAACAAGACCTTATGCCCCATTCTTAGATTCTTTTTAGGTCTAGATTCCAGTGATATTTGGCTGTTTCGAGCTTGCTTTATTCCTTTTTTATGCCAGTACTGGGGCTTGAACTCAGGGCCTGAGTGCTGTTCTTTAGCTTTTTTGTTCAAGGCTGATGCTCCTGGCTTTTTGGTGTTAATAGAAGATAAGAATCTTACAGACTTTTCTCCTTGGGCTGACTTCTATTCTTGATCCTCACTCAGATCTTAGCTTCCTAAGTAGCTAGAATTGTAGATGTGAGTCTCCAGTGCCCAGCTGAATTTGCTTTTTATTGTGATTTTTCTTAAAGATACGTATTTCCATTATTCTTTATGGATGATTAATACTCCATGAGGTGTGTGTGTGTGTGTGTGTGTGTGTGTACATATATTTCACATTTATCCATTTATGAATGTGACACCTAGGCTGTTTTCAAAGTTTGACTATCATGATAAACATGGGTGTGCAAGTATCTATGTCATATGCTAGTTTACATTTCTTATTGTTTCTTGATTATGGTAATTGTTTCCTTCGATATGTAGAAACCTCTTAATGCAATCTTACTTGACATTTCTTCATGTCTGTTTTTGTGCCAGTAGCATGCTATTTTTATTACTGTGTATCTGTACTATAATGTGAAGTTCAGTATTGTGATTCCTCCAGCATTTCACTTTTCAGTTAGGATAGGTTTGGCTATTTCAGGTCTTTTGAGCTTCCAAATGAATCTTATAATTTATTGTTCTGATTCTACGAAGAATGACAGCAGACTTTTGATGAATATTTCATTTCTGCAGATTGTTTCCAGTACTGGAGATATTTTCACAATATTGATTCTGTTGATTCAGGAGCATGGGAAATCTTTGCATCTTCTGGAGTCATCTTCAATTTCTTCAGGGTTTTATAGGTTTTTATTGTTGTTGTTTTTCACCTCCTTATTTTAAGCTAAGATTTATTTTTCCTGAGGCTACCGTGAATGGTATTGTTTCCTCAGGATATAGAAAAGCGATTGATTTTTATTTGTTAATTTTATATCCTGCTATATTACCTAAGTTTTTTTCAAATCAGATGTAGAGCTTTTGTGGAATCTGTTAAGCTGAGGACCAAGTTATCTATGATAAAAGGGATAATTTGACTCCTTTCCTCCCCAATTAAATCTCCCCAATTACTTTCTCTTGCTGTTCTAGTTAGGAATTCCAGTATGTATTTTTAATATGAATAGAGGGAGTGGACATCCTACAGTTGTTCTTGACTTTAAAGGAAATTCATCAATTTTCCTTTTAATTGATGTTAACTCTAGGTTTATTATATATATATTCTTTGTTATGTTGACAAAAGATTTTAATATTCCTAGTTTCTTCAGAGTTTTTATTAAGGGATGTTGAATTTGGTCAAAGTTTTTCTGCATCTACTGAGAGAGGATCATGTATTATGATCATGTATTATGTCCCTGTTAATATATTGCTGTTAATATATGCTGTGTTACTTTTATTGAGTTATATTTGTTGAACTACCATGCATTTGTGAGGTGAAACCAACTTGACCATGGCCAGTGATCTTTTTTAATATGCTGTTTAGTTTTCAATATTTTATTGATACTTTTTGCATTTAGTTTATCATTGAAACTGGTTTATACTTTTATTTTATTTTTATTTTTGCTGGTCCTGAGGCTTGAACTCTGGGCTTAGGTGCTATCTCTGAGCTTCTTTTGCTCAAGGCTAGACCTCTACCACTTGAGCTACAGGGCCACTTCTGGCCTTTTCTGAGTAGTTTAATGGAGATAAGGGCCTCATGGACTTTCCTGCTGGGGCTGGCTTTGAACTGCAATTCTCAGATCTCAGCCTCCTGAGTAGCTAGGATTACAGGCAAGAGCTACCAGTGCCTGGATAATTGTCAACAGTGCCTGTTGTCATTGTCATTTGGTATCAAGGGAGTACTGGCTTAGTAGAATGAGTTTGGTAGGACCCCTTCCCTTTCTATGTTCTAGGTAGTTTTTGGAGTATTAGTGTTAATTCTTCTTTAAGGGTCTAACTGACTTAGACAGTGAATCCATCCGGTCTTGGACTTCTTTTTTTATTTTTTTTATTGTTTTGCTGGTCCTGGGGCTTGACCTCTTGCCTGGGCACTGTCCCAGAGCCTCTTGTACTCAAAGCTAGCTCTCTACCACTTGTGTAATGTCTAAGATTGAGGTGTTATTTCTCATGCTAGATTAAGTAATATGGCTCAGCAACTAGACATTCACCTATATGTTCAGAGCAGTAGGCCTGACCTCCAGCACTACTCATTGAAATAACTAGCTAGATAGAGTCTTTTGTAGAAGAGTGGGTAAGTTTTCTGCTTTGAGGCCACTTTCACTATAGAAGCTTCTGCCAGTGTTTGGTTCTTGGAACAAATCTACCACCTGCTGGACACAAAAGGAGGGGCCAGTGAATGCTTCTATAAAAATTATACTTTGAGGCCAAGTGTTGGTGACTCATATCCTACCGAGTTACTCAGGAGGCTGAGATCTGAGAATGGTGGTTCAAAGCTAGCACAGGCAGGAAAGTTCATGAGACTCATATCTCCAATTAACCACCAGAAAACTGGAAGTAGCACTGTGGCTCAAATTGGTAGAGTACTAGCCTTGAGCAAAAAGGGCTCACGGATAGCACTTATATCCTAGTTCAAGTCCCATGACTGACTGAACCCTCCCCCAAATTATATATATATATATATATGTTTATGTATTTTATATATGTATGTATTTTTTTTGTTGGTCGTGGGGCCTGAACTCTGGTCTTGGGCACTGTCTTTCAGCTCTTTAGCTCAAGGCTTGTGTTCTGCCACATTAGCCACAATGCCAAACTTCTGTTTTTTTCTGCTTATGTGGTACTGAGGAATGGAACCCAGGGACTCATGCATGCAAGGGCAAGCACTGTACCACTGAGTCAAGTCACCTTCCCAGCTCCAAAATTACATTTTTATTATCCTTAATAAGAATTATATTTTTATTATCCTTAAGTTTCCTTTTCATTATTCTCCCCATTCCTCTGAACCCTACCCCTCCCCTCAATTTTGTTTTGTTTTTCTTTTTATTATCCTTAGGTTGTCATACAAAGGAGTTGCAATTTAACAATGTCACCCCTCCGTCCCTAGCCTTTCCCTGTAGGATATACATTGGATTCTTGACTGTCAAAATCAAAATTCAGCAAAATAAAACACCAGGAAGCAGGTATTCAAAAGGATAATTTGGTGTCAAGGGGAAAAGGTAACAAGATAGAAGCTTTTTAAAAGTTATTAATTTAAGAAAGTTATCTTGAGAGCTGCACTGGGCATTGGTAGCTCATGCCTCTAATCCTAGCCATTCAGGAGGCTGAGATGTGAGGGTGAAAGTTAAGTCAGCTAAGGCAGGAAAGTCTGTGAGACTTACCTGTAATTAACTGCCTGAAAGCCTGGAGTGTAGCTGTGGCTGAAGTGATACAGCACTAGCTTTGAGCATAAAAGCTCAGACAGTGTGCAGGCCAGGCTTAGAGTGCAGGCCGCAGGACTGCCATACTTACAAATATTATCTTTAAGTAATTGCACAAAGAAGTTTCAATTCAACATATAGTTTATAAGTATAGTTCATCTGGGTCAGAGTCACCCCTTAGAAGCTTTCGTTTGATGCAGAGAGCACTGCCATTTGTGGGCTAGGTAGGTTCCCACTTGCACTTCAGGATCCCCACTTTGTTTCTCCAAGATCAACAAGATCATCAAGAGTCCAAGCCTAAGAGTATGCTTCAACCCTGAATGTGCTTAGACATCTGAATTTGCCAGTGAGTGGGGAGCATACTACCCTGAGTGACAGAATTGCTCTGCTTGCTGGCCTCAATGCTTATAGACACCATTTAGAAGTTAATTTCCCTGTTGATGTTTCATTATTCAGACTGTCTTGATTATAAGTCACCCATCCTGTCAGTAACAC